TAAAATTTAAATTTCTATATATTTTTTTAACAATTTAATAAAATATTGTTACAGATTTATTATAATTACATTGTAGAACTTCTAGTAATTTAAAATCATATGATAATGGTAAATCATTAGAGTAACAAAGAGTACTGTCACAATAATATTGCGGCAATAACATATGTTGCAAACCATAAGTTACAACCCTAATCACCTTACACATGTTCCTCCACTATCAACTGATTCACAATTAAAAGCATATGATATGTTAATACATGTGAGTTAATTCTTCTTATGTATTTTATTATACATAAAATAAGCTTACACGTAATCACAAGAATGTAAAACTAAGAGAAAACGAAAAGGAAGAGAAAACAACAACGTACTGCCTTGCTATTATTCAGAAAGATAAGCTGATATATACAAGGAAAAATTGAAAAAGAAATAACAGAAAAGAGAGAGAAAATAACGGATAAAGATGAAACAGAAACGTAACAAAAATTATTGTTGCTAACGGAAATTATTGTTGAGACCCCCCCCCTCAAGTTGGGAATGAATGTTTAACATGCCCAACTTGGTACGAAAACTTTGAAACAAAGTGGGAGAAAGCGCCTTAGTGAAGATGTCTGCAAGTTGGAGAGATGAAGGCACCGGAAGAAGCTTGATTAAATCGGAGTTGACCTTTTCACGAACAATATGACAGTCAATCGCTATATGTTTAGTATGTTCATGAAAAACTTGATTTGTTGCTATTTGAAGAGCTGATTGATTGTCACAATAAAGAAGAGCTGGACGAGTGAAGGAGACTCCAAAATCTTGAAGAAGAAAAGTGAGCCATTGAAGCTCACAAGTCGTGGAAGCCAGGGCACGGTATTCAGCCCCAGAAGAGCTACGGGAGCCAGTGGGTTGCTTCTTGGAACGCCAAGATATGAGAGAATCACCAAGATAAATAGAAAATTCGGTAATGGAGCGTCGAGAATCATGACAGCCAGCCCAATCCGAGTCACTAAAAGCTTTGAGTTGAGATGAACTGTTGGCAGAGAAGAAAATCCCAGAACCCGGTTCTTGCTTCAAGTAGCGAAGTATACGAAAAACAGCTTGAGAATGGGACATGGTAAGAGAAGATACAAATTGACTAAGATGATGAACAACATAAGTAATATCAGGGCGAGTAGTAGTAAGATATATGAGTCTTCCAATAAGTCTTCTGTAAGCTGATGGATCATGAAGAGGAGTGTCGGTAGTGGATGAAAGACGAGTGTAATAATCCATTGGTGTTGAAACTGGACGAGAAGCGAGCATACCACAATCAGATAAAATATCTAGCACATATTTCCTCTAAGAGATATGTATGCCATACTTGTTTCGAGCTATTTCAAGGCCCAAGAAATATTTGAGATCACCTAAATCCTTGATTTTGAATGTGTCATTAAGAAGCTTAGTGATACGTTGGATTTCAAGGAGATTGTTTCCTACAAGAACAATGTCATCTACATAGACAAGGAGAGCAGTAATCATTGAGTCAAAGAACTTGAGAAACAAAGAATGATCAGATGAGCATTGATGGTAACCATGTTGGAGAAGAAAGGAAGAGAGTCGAGCAAACCATTGTTGACTAGCCTATTTCAAGCCATAGATGTAATTCACCATGGAGAAAAGCATTATTGACCTGGTTGGGATGAGTTGGAGAAAACCCAAGAGGTAATTTCATGTAGACTTCTTCATGTAATTCACCATGGAGAAAAGCATTATTGATGTCTAATTGTTTAAGATGTCAGTTGTGAATGGCAGCAAGAGCAAGGAGAAGACGAATAGTGGTGAGTTTAGCAACCTAAGAAAAAGTATCAAGGTAATCCAAACCTTTGAGTTGGGTATAACCTTTAGCGACAAGTCGAGCCTTGTAGCGTTCGACAGTTCCATCAGCATTGTATTTAACTTTTAAATCCATCGACAACCAATAGCCGTTTTGTGAGGTGGAAGAGTGGTGAGAGTCCAAATATGATTTGCTTGAAGAGCATCTATCTCAGCTTTCATGGCTTTAAGCCAACAATCACTTTTTGCGGCCTCAACATAAGAAGTGGGTTCAATGATGGTAGATATAGAAGAAATGAAATGATGAAATGAAGGTGAGAGACGATCATAACAAAGATAATTTTTAATTGGATAGCGAATACCTGGATGAAGATTGGTTGAAGTAGATGTGAGAGTCCGATGAAAATCTTGCAGGTATGAAGGTGGTTGTCGTTGACGAGTGGAACAACGAAGTGTGGTTGAGGTAGGAGGAAAAGGTGAAGGGCTAGTAGTGTCAAGAACAAGTGCAGGTGTGTCAGGGTGAAAAGTATCTGAAGTGGGTATTAAAGGATCAAGAATAAAAAGAGATGGAGATATGGTGCTAAGGTTTTGGTCATTGAGTGATGAGGGAAAATAGGGAAAATGATCCTCATAGAATATGACATTACGGGAAGTGGCAATGGTACGAGTATGTAAATCATAGGTAAGGTAACCTTTGGTATGAGAAGGGAAACCTAGAAAAATACAAGGATGGGCTTGAGGATCAAGTTTCTTGCGTTGGGAAGTAATGGTGGTGATATAACAAAGATATCCAAATACTTTGATCATGGAAATATCACATTGAACACCATGCAATTTTTCAAAAGGGGAAGTATTTTTCAAAAAAGGTGTTGGTATGCAATTGATAAGATAAGTGGCATGTAATAAAGCGAAACTCCAAAAACAATCGGGTAAGTTAGAATGAAATAAAAGAGCACAAGTGACATTGAGTAAGTGTTGATGTTTACACTTAACAATGCCATTTTGTTGTGGGGTTTCAATGCAAGATGTTTGATGAATAATTCATTTTAAATGAAAGAGTTCATGCATGGAAAATTCATTGCCATTGTCCGTACGGATGATTCTGACGTGTGTATCAAATTGATTCTCAACAAGATTGATGAAATTCTAGTGATATGTGTACATGTTTCACTTTTATTACACATCAAATAAACCCAAGTGTAGCATGTGTGATCATCAACAATAGTGAGAAAATAACGATGTCCATTCATGGAAAGCATGGAATATGGTCCCCATATGTCCATGTGAATGAATGCAAAAGGTTGTGTGGCATGTGAGTTGCTAAGAGGAAAAGGTAATTTTCGTTGTTTAGCATAGTGACAGGTATTGCAAACAAAATTTTTATTGTTGTTCAAACATGAATATTGTTGTTGCATAATATGCATACGTTCACTAGATAGGTGCCCAAGGCGAAAATGCCATAGATCAATAGGGATTACATTGCATTTGGGATGTATAATAGTGGAGTTTATACTATGAGGTTGGAGATGAGCGGGTATAAGCTGGTATAATCCATCTCTCATATCAACTGAACCAATCGTCATCCGTGTGTTCGCGTCCTGAATAAGACAATGGGTAGCAGTGAATATTAGTTGATAAGGAGTGGAAGAAACAAGTTTAGAGATAGAGACCAAATTAAACGTAAAAGAAGGAATATAAAGAACATTTGTCAGTTGAAAAAGAGAAGAAAATTTGACAACACCAGAGTGCGTTGCTGCTACCCGTTTTCCATTTGGGAGTTTAACAATAATGGGATCAATGGAATGAAAAGAATGAAAATATTACAGAGAAGATGACACATGATCTGTTGCCCCTGAATCAAGAATCCAAGGAACAATTTTATGTGTGTGTGTAGTGCAGATGAGAGAGCCAAATTTACCTGATATAGGAGGTGAGTGTGTGGAACAAGAAGAGATGGAACTAATATGAGCTACATTCGATGCTGAATTCACATTTGGTGGTTGCTGAATTAATGCCAATAGAGCTTGATATTGCTGAGGGGAGAAGCGAATGTCCTGGACCTCATTAGCAGTAGATTATTTTTCATCCTCTGAAACCTTTGTATCACTAGTCATAACAGCAATAATGGGCATAAATTTCCCATTGTGAAAGCAATGTCCAGGAGGAAACCCATGTTTCCTATAACACACGTCTATGGTGTGACCGCCTTTCCCACAATGAGTACAAGTTTTCCCTCGAGCATAAGTGTTTTTATTATTCATGACCTCAGAAGGAAATTCGTGCTTGCGGAAGCATGTGCTCTCTGCATGACCAGTGCGACCACAAAAGTTGCAATTCAAACCTGCACTATTAACAGAAGTGCTACACGTTTCCATATTGATAGCAGCGACAAAGGTTTCACTCACAGAAAACTGCCTCTCTTGTTGAGCATTGAGACCTCTCAAAGACTGCATTGCTTGATCTTCCAATTTTCTCTGAGCAATAATAGATGCAACTTTGCAAGTGCATTTTGTGGTGCACGCACAGACCGGATCTGGACGAAAATTCTCCAACTCGTCCCATATAATACGAAGTTCACTCTGCTTGATAGAAGAAGCCTCTAGTTGCAAATCAAAAATTCTAAGAAGGTCACCTTGCGAATATCGAGCCTTAAGATCGCGCCAAATTTCATCAGCCTTATCCATCTAGAGAATACTCTGACGGATTGAAGCAGAAACAGAATATACAATCCATGAAATCACCATGTTATTACACCTTTTCCAAGCACCATATGTCTGATCGGTTGACGATGGCTGGGGAGCTCCTCCATCAATAAACTCTAGTTTGTTCTTGGCGCTTAATGCAATCATCATAGATCTGCTCCACAAGTGATAATTTGTTGAATTAAGTGCAGGTGAAACGAGAGCAGTAGAAGGGTTTTCATTTGGATGCAAGTATAAGAAACTGTGAATGTCGAGTTCACGACTCGTTTTCTCACCACTCATCTTTGTAGTATCAAAGAATAGAAAAGTGGACACGCAGCAGAATTCTTCGAAAAGAGCTCTGATACCATCACAAGAATGTAAAACTAAGAGAGAACGAAAAGGAGGAGAAAGCAACAATGTACTACCTTGCTATTATTCAGAAAGATAAGCTGATATATACAAGGAAAAATTGAAAAAGAAATAATAGAAAGGAAAGAGAAAATAACGGATAAAGATGAAATAGAAACGTAACAAAAATTATTATTGCTAACGGAAATTATTATTGAGACGTAATAGGTGTCTTATAAAGTTTCATGGTCAAGTTCCACAATTCAAGAATCAAAATCCAGAGACAAACACCATGGACCTGTTGCTCTACTATGATGAAATTAGGCTTTTTGTTTCAACTTCATTCAATAGGAATACATATAAGTTCATTTCCATTCATAAACCTTGTGGTGTGTTCCTAATTGAATCCAAGGTGCTATGACTAGGCCAAGCGGAATAACTCAAGGGCTTCACCAGTGGCCATCTTCTTGCTAATTCTGAGCTTCCTATAATCTTCATAAATAAAAGGTTGATAAAGACGTGGGTGATGATGGTCCACCAATTCCTCTGGGGCCTCAACATTCCTATTCCTGGGTGCTAACATAAATGTAGCAATTGAAAGACGTTTGGTCGCTTCCTTGCATTGCACACGGTGTATCAAATTGCAAAATCTTCCATTGCTCCACACCTGCATATATATACATTTATTTATATTCCACACTGCAATAAGTACATGCTCTTTATATATTTTATTTAATTACAATTTTTGTCATTATGCTTCCCCATTTTATAAATTTTGGACATTTTTTATTAATATTTTTTTAATCAACAAACAAACAATATATATGAAAGAGCTACCATGGATACCACAAAACCATATACAAATAATCGATATACAGAGTTTTCATTCTACCTTTCCCCTAATTAGAGTAATTTATAATTGAATAAATACAAATTATAATCTAACCAAATTTCTTCTTAAAATGTAAACTCAATTACAAAATATTTCACTCACACCTTACTATTTTACATATTCTTACTCTCGCAGTTACAACCCAATGTTGTAATTTAAACGACGCAACCCACCAAACTTAAAGGACAAAAAGACAAAACTGCATAGGCTTATAGCCCCAAAACATCAACATCTAATCTGTAATCTAAATCCGACCATGGCCACTTCCACTGATTCCTAAACCCTAACATCTAGTCTGAAGATTTGTTTTTGTACAGTAAAGGTAATCCACCAACAATTCACCATTATAAATTTACGTCCATACCCCTACAACATACAATGACCAAGTGATAATGATCAAATATGTTATATGCATTAATATTTTCCCAGATTTAGTGACCATGTCAACCAAGAATATTGAAATTGATTGTCTTTTCAGCCAAGACCACGCTGTGAACAACACAGTTTGTAACAAGATGTTTTTGTCAAAAGACCCATTCTTAATGCACATAGATTTCTTTGGCACCATGTACACCAAATCACTCAACACCACAAAATGCTCCGCTCCTCATACTTTGACTCTGATGCTTGAGTGTGTTATCAAACATAATATAATCTATAATGTCATTTTTAATGTAACATATTTGCGATCACCTGATACGTTAGTCATCAACATATTATGTCGATCAACCACGACATCAAATGATGAATTAATAAAGTATCAAAATGGTAAAATGTACTATTTAAAAAGTTAAACTAAAAAATTTGACGAAGATATGAAATGAGTGAAAAAAAAGTATAATTAAACATGTATATATTTTACCTAAATTTAAGTCTGGGATTGGTATATACTTACACGAGCAATGTCTCCGAGATTTACAAGGAGGGTTCCTGGGGAAGGAGGAATTGGCACAAATGAGCCAGAAGTATTGAAGACTTCAAGACCACCAACATTTTCATCATCTTGAAGAATGGTTAAGAATCCTGAATCGGTGTGAATTTGAACTCCAGTGGACCCCACTGCTTCTGGGGTGAAGTTATATTTGTTAATTCTAAACTGGCATGGCCAGTCCTCGAAATCAGCAACTACAACGCCTAGTGATTCCGCCATTTTTTGTCCTAGGTTTACTGCCAAACCATGAATCGCTCGCCCATATGCCTCCATTATTTGCCTAGTAGTATTATTCATCATTCAAAACAAACATCAAGTTGTCAAGTTATGACATCAAACATAAGAATTATAAAACCATGGACGCGCGGCACATAGAGTTATCATGGATCAGATATGTTGCTCTTTCTGCGGTATGAGTGAGCCAGAGTTCAACATAAATACTTTCATTAAATATGCTATTTAATATTTGAGTTAATCCTTCATTATAAAATTTTTTACATTAATAATTAATTATATTTTTAAATTATTTTATTTTATTATTATTTAATTAAATAAACAAATAACATGATAAAATATAATTGATATAAAAAATATGATTAGTTGTTAGTATAAAACTTTTTTACACCGATAATGTTTAGATGATTATCTCTTAATATTTATACAGAAACTGAATGAAATTACCTCTGGTGGGGTGATGCATCAAGTTGAGAGCAAAAATTATGCATAGCTTGTGGGGAAGCAAAGTCATAGAGTCCCAAGGCCTCATAGAATGGGTTGACTGCGCTTGGCGCCATGTAACCACTGCCAGCAATGGCTTCTGTGTTGCGATTCTTGAGCTCCATAGGAAGATCAAGAAGAGCTCCAATCACCTTCTTCATCTCACCCATGAGGGTTGCAGGAATGGAGTGGTTAATGATCCTGAAACAACCCCACCTTTCACATGCTTCTCTTAGTTTTTTGCATTCCTCTTGCTCACAAATTTTTCCCATATCAATCACTGGAATAGACATAGTTCTATTCTATCTTTTGTTCCTGTCGATATGGAATGAATGAAGGGAAAGTATCTCTTCACAACTTTTTCTAAATAATTTAATCCACTCTCTTTCTTTTCTTTTATGTAATTTATTATATTAATTCATCTTTCTTTTTGTCCTCACCTTTTGAATGATACTCGCACGACTTGCACCTGCTTTAACTTTTAAAAATTCATTTATTTCTTTTAATGAATATGTTAATGATATATAAAATATGAGGTACATTATTTTTCTTTAAAATCTAAAATTTATCTTTTAATTTTTAAAATATTAAAAATTATTAGTTTGACCTCTTAAATTTTAAATTTATCTTTTTGCTTCTTGTAATTTTAAAGAATTATTATTTTAATCTTTGTATATATTTTTCTAGTCTTTTAAATTTAAAATGTTCAAAATATAAAAATTATTATTTTAATTCTTTACTCAAATATTATCGATTAATAAACTTGTTATAATTATTTTACTAATTTTATTGTTAGTAAAAATATTAGATTAAACTAAATATTACATAATTATTTTAATATATTACTGTCAATTATGTTATTATTAATTATAAAGGACTAAAATTAATTTTTAAAATTACATAAATCGAGAAGATAAATTTAAAATTTGAACGATTAAAATAATAATTTTTATATTCTAAAAAATAACATCACATTTTTTAATTTGAAGGATAAAAAAATATATAATTTTTTTAAAAAAATATGGGGATTAAAAATATAAAATTTAAATTTAAATATATAAAAAATAATTACTCAACTTAAAAGATTGAACTTTATTTATTTTATCAAACACAAGTAATTTGATGATTTTATTCTTTAATCAAGGACTAACATATTCTATCTATGACTTTGGGGTATAAACAAGATCAAATCAACTAGAAAAACTAAAATAAAATTTTGAATTTTTTTCTTTAAACAAGAGACGTATATGTTAGTTTTTTTTTTTCAACATGTACGATGCTTTTATTTTATAAAACTAATAATAAATATCAAATATTGTTAATATGCACATTTTACATTTGTACTTCTTAAAAAATTGAGATTCAATCCCTAAATTGAATATAAATTCACAATTAGAAATATTAATTTATTCTTACATGATCAACATAGTAAAAAAGATTGATATTTATTATTAAAAAATAAATTAATAGTATTTTTAATATGCACATTTTACATTTGTACTTCTTAAAAAATTGAGATTCAATCCCTAAATTGAATATAAATTCACAATTAGAAATATTAATTTATTCTTACATGATCAACATAGTAAAAAAGATTGATATTTATTATTAAAAAATAAATTAATAGTATTTTTTATAAATAGACCTAAAATTTAAGTTTTAACAAGCTTAATGTAAAAAAACAAAATAAATCTTGGGTCGCTCCTGAATAATTAAACAAAAGAAAAATTAATAGTAATTTAATTTTTTTAATTAATGAACCTAAACTTAAGGTTCCACAACCTTAATCTTGGACAAGTCTTGAACATGAAATCGTTTTCAAAGCTGAACCGTTAATAAAATTATACCTCTTAATAAAAAGTACATTTTTAAAAACAAGAAAAATATTGTAAGTATCCTCAAAGAAAACCTCGTGATAAGATAAGGGTAATTTTTCCTTAATGTTAGAGGTCATTTTTTTGGGGGTTATAAAAGTCATTCTCTTTATTCATTGCTTTTGAAATTGAAGACAACTTTGATTGGCTGTCCTTAATTGTAAAATAATCGGGGACAATGACTTTAATTGTAAAGGTCACTGCTTTCTATTTTAATTAATTATTTTTTATATTTGTGTTAACTTTTCATTTAATCTTTCTACTTAAAAAATTATATTTTAATTTATATACGCTTTACTTTTTTAGGATTTATTCTTTATATTTTTTGTTTTATTGTGTTTTTATATTGTTAAAAACTAAGAGTTAATATAT